TCTCATTATCAACGTTTCACATAGACGCGGGCCTAGCAGTTACAACAAGTATTCGAATGAAAACTAGTAGACATATGACTACAAGGGGCCATCGTTGCTCATCGGATTGGGCTGCCGCGCAAAAGTGGGGCCCCATAATCAGCGTCGCACAGAGACACGGACCCAGCAGTTACGATGATGAGTTGAGGTGTGTGATAAAGGCTACCGTCATGGCGACCAATTTATGGTGGTCACCACCCATAGAACGTCATAGTCACAATAGGAATGACGCCCGAAGCGATCTCGTGTCGCTTTACTATCTAAAAGCTTGTTATGCAGGTCTGGGAAAGCGAATCATCCCTAGATAGCCCTCGCACTGCCACTGCACAGATCATGCCATTGTCTAACTTTATTGCACTCAATGGAATACGAGATCCATGAGGAAAATGTGGTGTGAACAAGTTCGCCGAACAAAATCATCCCAATTGTTAAACCTGAGGAGTGTGAAGCAAACAAACGTCTACGACTAATCTTCTGGGGTGGAATTTGCATTAAATACTCTTAATATGTTTTTTATTCTTCAGGAACAACGAAGAACGCCAAGATATGCTAAAGTGCGATTTCTTGGTTTACGTCGCGTAAACCGGCAAGAAAACGCGAATCGGCGGTTGTCTATGGCCTTGAAATTTCGCTCACTCAAACAACATGTCACGTGCAACATGCCTGTGGAAGGTGCAAATTGATTAGACTAACGCCCCATCAAGTTTACAAGTTCGAAAACCCTATAGTTTCGGCGAAGTCAATTTGGGTGTGCAAACAGCCAGCGGCGTATTACCTCTGTAGTGGTCTGGCTACCCAATAAGTCAGTTTACCAGGAGTGTGTGGCAAAGTAATAAAAATAATTACGCTAAGTTGGGTATACAAAAATAAATAGGTCGGATGGAACAGACTCACTAACAATTGTTCTCTTTAAAATAGTTCGTCGTTGGCCCAGGTCAGCGAATAAACAATAATCCAATAGTGTT